AACTCGTCCAGTGTTTCATAAAGTATCGGATACAGTTGTGGCAAAATGCCGTGATCCAATGTGGGGAAGAGGTGATGCAAAAAATGATCACCGAAATGTGTCAGCACCAAGAATTGTGATCCCTTAATGTCGCTACGATCGATAACGGTATCCAATTGATAGAGACCCCAATCGCGATCTTCACGTTGGGCATCGCCGTCATGAAAGATTTTCGGATCGTGATGGGCGGCATTCAAGCCGATAACGCCAAAAATGAAGCTTGCCAAACCGACAATAACAACCCACTGTCTGAGTACAGTTAGTATGGGTACGTTTGCCACCAGCAGCATGAATAGTGGGAGCGTAAAGCCAATCGCGTCGTGCCAAAATAGAATGTTCCTACGCAAGAGAGTGACTGCAATTCTAAAATTAAAGAACGAAATTGTGTTATTTTCGAAACTGCATTCGAAACCTCTCTATAACGCACCTCAAAATGATTTGGAATGGAAATATGAGCACATAAACAATGGGCTGTATGGTGACGGAGAAGAGGCGATGCCACTGGGTGTGTAGGCGAGAGTTTGGCCACCAGCAAAGCCAAGGCTCAAATAGTGACATCTCCAGATCGTTCAACGAATTCGGGTAGACGTGGTGAGACATTGCATGCAAAACGCGCCAATTGCAGAAGTTCATCAGCGAAAAGTTGAAAGTATACATCTGCCAATTGTCCTTGCGATGCAAGTAGTTGTGTGTAGCAATGGTGAGCCAGGATAGCGACAAGCCGGCAAAGAGTTCAAATATTATATAGCCGGTGTAGGCGCAAGCGAATGCGAATACGAAAGTCGATAGCAAGAGGCCGAAGTGCATGAGCTGCGGAATGAAATCAGAAAATAAATATTAAACTCTTTTGACAGCAAACAATTTCAGCTGTTTCAACTCACATCTGTTCTCCTTGCTGGCTTAAAATCTACTTCCTTCAATTTCTCGCGCACGCGTGACTTCAGCACCCTGTAGAAGCCGTTCTCGTGCAATGTGAACTTGTAATTGCGCGGTTTAGCGGCACTGCGTACGTGAAATTTGCTCAGCATCTGTTCTGGTTTCTTCGAAATGTGATGCGATTCAAATGCTTCGGTTATGTCTGTGCCCTTTGTCCATTCCAGCCAGAAGGCACCGCCCGGATGGCGCGTGATGAAGTCGGTTAAGTCGTAGAGCTCATCTTTAATACGCCAGAATCCTTCAGCTTCGTCGTCCTTTCGTTTGGCAGCGACCCAGCTGAAAGCGTAAAAATACATACATACATACATATGTATTTTAAATGAACAAAATTGGAAAGTCTCAGCAAACATTTGGCGTCCATAAGTGAGTCTTTAAGGTGTCCTTTACTCTACTTTACTCTTTATTTTGGACTCTTTTGAACAACTTTTTTGGCCTCATATATGAATCATTTCAGACTCCTTTTGGGGCTCTTATCGGCCTCATAAATTACCACATTCGGCCTCCTATTTTAGATTGTTCTTTGGGTCTTATTTAACACTATATATTTGCAAAGGAATTCAGCAAATATTTTTTTCAAATAACATACATATATATGTACTTATGTACGTGCATATACACATTCCAACACGTATTTAATAGCAACAGCTGCAGCTAAATTTTGTTAATTTTTTGTTTTCTAATTATTTTAAATTTCTGAATAAACAAGTTTAGATATAAATTTCCAATGTTTATTGGTTTTATATTGGCACAAGGTGTTGGCTCATAACTTGGATCATATGCATGATTCAATAACAGAAAGGTTTTGTAATAAAACAGTCTTCTCGCTCCCACACATAAAATCGGCTCCTTTACTTGTGCAGAATGTTGCTTACTCTAAAGTTTCTAGTGATATTAGTAGTAAAACCAAAAATTCTTTATACTCATGATACAAAAAAGAAGGTAGTTTCATTACTACTATTTTTTGATTATAAAGCAGAATTTTGACATTTCTCCAGATGTAAACATTAAGCATAGCTTTGCCACATTGAAATTTTTCGATAGGGGAGATTTTCTTTTAAATATTAAGGAGTAAAATTTACATACAAACAATAGTAAGTTGATGTGTTCGATAATCAAATTTGAACGTTTTTCTCAAGCGTTTAAAAGGTCCTTTGAATAATATCGATGTGAAGTGATGAAGAAATGAAATAAAATCTAGTTTTGAAATATTTATTTATTAAAAAGCTGTTTTTCATTTTATTTTAAACAAAATAAATAAATTTACATAACAAAACTCTCTTTTCTTTATAGTCCGAAGAAGATGTATTGTTATTGTATTGTATTAGCCAAGCTGCACTTAACGCACTACTTACTTCCAGACTCTGAGTGCCAGTTCAATCGGGAGTACCTCTTATTATGCGTTATCGCGCATATCGAAGACAAATATCCTCTTCATTTTGTAAATATTTTTTACAATTAATAAATGATTATTGAGGACTAGGTATGGCAGCACGAAATGTCACAATCTGCTTAATTGTCAGGTAGTTAATATGGCGCCCGAAAAGTGACAATGAAACTACCTTCTTTTTTGTATCATGTTCATACTAAATATTCGTTGGCGTCACCTTCGTTTGCGTAATTTTCTAGAACAAGTGTAGAAAAGCGACCGTTTAGCTATAAAATAACCAAAAATGCCGATTGATAGAACTTTTTGCGCTGATTTGAACGATACCAAATTTATTTGGCGCAGGTAAAAGATAAAGAAGATATAAGAGGTTTATTTGTATTTTTTATTATCACCAAATTGTTGAAACCCAAAAGTAGATCATGATAAAACACGTAATATCGAATTAAAGATAATAACTTGTACTTTCTAAATAATATAAATTTCTTTACCATTAATTATGCAGTTTTTTCAAAAAAGGTTATTTCATGAAAAAATAACATTTGTTCGTTTTTTAGTGGTTTCGGTTTAAAAATACAAAAAGCTATAAATTATGTACATCAGCTGAAGAACAAATTAATTATCTTTATGGTGACGTCATTCGTTTTTTAATCGGTTATAGAGTTCATAAGGTATTAATATTTAAAATATCTAAAAACTGAACTTTAACCTTCTCAATTTTTTACTTGCGCTAAATCATTTTGGCGTGGTTGAAATGAGCATAAAAAGTTCTATTGATCTGCATCAAAAATGGATATTTTTATGTATTGTTTAGTATTCCCATTAAAACACCAAATATATTGCAAATTCGCATAGAATTAATAATACACATTTTACTTATAATTGTATACCTTGTATACTTTTTGTATTACCATTCTACTACCGTTTCCGCAAGATGCGATCACATTCTTCCCCTTTCTCCTACTTCCAAAATACAAATCTAGATAGTAAAGGAGTGTAAAATTTTAGCTGTCACAAATTACACAACCTTGTATTATTGAATCATGGATCATATGTATAGGATTCCTAAAAGATTCATATAAGAGTAAAAAATTTTTTGTTTTTGAAACTCATATTTCTTACCTACCTAGGAGAACTCCTTTCGGGCTCATATATTCTGAACCATGGTACAATAAAAACAGGTAGAAGCCAAATTGACATCAAACCTACAAAAGTCAAAGTTTTCGGGAGAGTAAAAATAAAAATGAGCGTGTGTAAGGAAAAAAAAAAAAATTACATTTCGCTGGTTGACGTTTTTGAGTAAATTAGAAGTTTTGCTTTTATTTATTTATTTTCTTTAGTTAAAATTTGTTAATTTGTATATTGTTTTCTATTTTTGATTTATAAGTTGCAGTGTTATTGGAGGGACTTTCCGGCATAAGGGTCATAGGAACAGCACTTGGCATCAAACGTGCCTTTCCTCTACCTCCCGGTGCATTTATGAAATCTGCTGCTTTAAAATGTTTAACGCACAGCAAGGCATTTCGCTGCAGCTCTACCCCACAGCTGCTTTCCCAACGCTCCTTACGCCAAGTACATTGAGGCACGTTAAAAAAATGAGTGCTGTCTTCATTATATTTAACACCACATAAAAAACAGCGCTTCAGGTGTTGCATTTTTAACACATACACTAAGTATAAACCGCACAACACTACAAAAATTCAAATGCTAATTAAAATTTGTCATTAACGAACATTCAAAAAAAGAACGACATGTCACTCAAAGCGTAACGAAATATAGGAAATAAAAGGAAAACAAGTTGAAGTTCTCATGAGAGCAACGTCATTTTGGCTTCCACCTGTATTTATGTGCCTTGATTCTGAACGCTCAGTAAATGTTTGCGGAGAGTAACTACATACATAAGTAAGTACAGTAAGTAAAGAGATATTTACGCCTGAAATTATATAACATGTTTTAGTTTTCCACTTTAGTCATCTATTTTTATTCGGTAGGAAGTACATTTTTGGGTCCTATGTCCATTCATTTCAGGAACCGTAACAGTTACAACTTTTATTGAAAAAAATCGCTCTTTAACATTTATTTTTTGACTTTTATTTAATTACTTCTTAAATAACCGTTATTTCTGACTTTTATTTTATAAATCCAAAATAACAATTATTTTTGATTTTTGTCTAAACAATTGCAAATAACAGTTATTTTTGATTTTTAAATTATATGTCTCAGATAACAGTTATCGAAGACTTTTATTTATAAAAGTCATAAATAAAAATCAGTCACTGACCTTTATTTTTTAAATCATACTTATAAAAGTAATTTGTATAAGTCGTAGTAAGCTTTTGTTTCCCAACACCTTCTTAACTGCAAAGAATGTTAATGACTTTTATACGAATGATTAAAAAATAAACTCGGTGACTGATTCATAAGTATATTGATGACTTTTAAAAGTAAAAGTCACTGACTGATTTTTATTCGATGACTTTTATAAATAAAAGTCTTTAATAACTGTTATCTAAGACATATAACATAAAAATCAAAAATAATTGTTATTTTGGATTTATAACATAAAAATTACAAATAATTGTTTTTTCCTTTTAATTTTGCATAAAAATTTATTTTCAAATTTGAGTCTCGGTGAAAAAAGAAATCGGTATGTATTACTTAGTTGTAGAACATTTGCTTCATAGTGAATTTTTCCATGACAGTAACCATCAACAACTGTTATGTTCGGTCCCTGGTTTATTTGTTTATATTTTTTTTAAATGTTGTATTATATGTACATATACTAATATGTGTATATGTATGTACATCTGTATGTATGAAAAAATTCCCGTCTGTTGTCACTTATTTCGTAATTCTTTGCATTGGTCAAGGTGAAACTCAGATTTTGTTCAGCACTACGACGCCAATTTATTATTCAATATTTAATTACATATAATTAAGCAAATACGAGTACTCCGTCACCGTCAAATACTAGAGCGCAACTTATCTTCGCATATCTCATCTGTTAGCGGGCCAGTTATTGTGGCAACCTGTTTTGCTATTTGAAAAAAGTGCATTCAGACATTTATCAATTCTTTGTACTAAACCAATATGAAATGTAAACCTGTAAAAATAGCAATTCCGAATATTCAACCGTATTCATATATTGGCGTAGGTAAAGTTTACTTGAGTTGAAGGTTCTTGGCGACAAAATTCAAAAAAAAAAAACAAAAAGAAACTGTGAATCCTATTAAACCTGTTCTCTTGCGGATTTAATGAAAATATTATGCTATGTTTCAAATAAGGCCGTCTGTCAAAGTAGGGTTTTAAATTTATCTGCTCTTTACTTACAAACTTTGTTCTAAAAAAAAAAAAAATGTTTTTGAAGGGCACTTACATTTTAAGACCTACTTGAGTAATATATTTAAAGATGGCTGAGCGATATTTTGTATCAAAGCCAAATTTACATTTCTTACTGAAATCATTGCTAACTTTTCTACAAAAAATGTTGCCTTTTCGTTGCCCTCTCCTTAGTAAATATTTGTGCGAAAAGGGCAATTAGAAGGTAACATTTTTCGGTAGAAAAGAAAACGCTATTAACCTTGGACTAAAGTTTAACCCTCTTTCATCTAAGGCTACCTTGAGGCACGATAAATTTTTCAAAACAGCTGATATTTGTTTTGGCGTTAAAAACGTTAGAATATTTTCGTAGGCATTTTATTGGCTTTATTCTCACTTTAGTGTCAAAATTTGGTGAATTCAGTCAAAGTAAAACTCTAAGAACCAAAAAATTAAAGTTATTTTCACTAGATTCGATCTAAAATTTAAAAGTAAGGCCAAATTCCAGATGAGCTATTTAAGTAGAGACTGTTGATTAACTTAAAAAACTAATTTTCAAATCATATACTTAAACTGAATTTAAACGAAAAATATTGGGCCTTATGAATAAAAACTAAGCAATTGCTTTTACTTAAATTTTTGGACCCTTTCCTTAAATTTATTTGAATAAATCGAAACCTATGTATGTATGTATACCCCGAAGGACGAATGTATTTTGTCAAGGCACAAAATTAGTTGTTTTTTATTGGGCAGAACCTATTTCCTTTCGGAATGGTAAGTTTCGTTAATTCTGCTTTTAATTTCCCTGCGTGGACACATTTTGTGCAGATCCACAGTATGTGGTTAGGAGAATGCCCAAACACTGCACGGACGAATCGACCCATAAACCATAATCTCATTATAAACATATGTTCTGTTGGGAGAGTGCTTTGTGAAGATTCGGCTCAGTTTGGTTGACTCTTTGTTATCCTTTAGATGGAACCTTCAAACTTATTTAAGATTGCATTGTAGTTGGCCCAGATCCTACTTCTGTAACATTCGTTGAAGAACTTCTTTACCTCATCTGCCTTCTAATGGCAGGGCACTTGAGTGACCTACGAGGACAACCTCGGACGCGAAGGTCGGAAAAATCCCTGCCTAAAAGCATTTATTTAGAAGTGCTCCCAATTTTTCCAACAGGGAAACAAAGGAATATTTACAAAAATGTGTTTTTCAAGAAATGAAATATAGAGCTTTTTTGTTATTATTATTTTTATTTAATTTTGTCGTCGTGAATAAGTCCCCTTTCAGACACACGTCAAGTCTTGAAAGCAATTTTTTTCGCATTCTCTTTTGTGTTTTCTATTTGCTTCCACACGCGTCAACTTTAATTGAATTCAAGTCCTTGGTTCTTTAAATGGGAAGCAACGAAAAGATCAAAAGAGACAAGAAAACTTGAAACGAATTGACGGTACGGAGGTATCTGTACTCTTCCTCTCTCTTCTCACCTCCTTCGCCTACGAACGAGCAGACTTGAAAGCAAGACTTGACGTGTCTGAAAGGGGACTAACTGAAAAGATCACTCATACGCACAGTTGCCCAAAATGAGTTCTTTTCGGTAGGGTTGAGCACTTCGTTACGAATGATTGTGTTTAGTGTGGACTAGAATTGGGAACGGGATTAAATATTCAATCCCGATCCCGCTCATCCTGAAACACAAATTTTTAAATCCCGAACCCGCCGATCCCGACAGTTTTCAGAATTGAATTCTTGGAGGTATTTTCAAATCGGCCCAGCTCACGCAAATCTTAGTATTTTTCCGAAATATTTTGGTGCAAATCTTAAAATATAATAGATTTTACGATTCCAATGGAAAAACAGTGCCGATTTTTATTTTTTTTTGTATGGGGAGTGATGCAGTCTAATATACGTACATACATGCGTATAAATTGACTCACCCTTCGCAAGTCTTGATCAACGAATCCCGATAAATTGGATATTTTCGCACTACGCTCGATGTCATCCAGTCTTCCTGCTTAGTCATATTACTCACATCACAGTTTCTCATTGCGGAAACCGTTATTCGTCACTTTGCATACACTAATGGTAGGCACACCTTAATCCTGGCGGTGCACTGCAGTTCAAGCTGCTATTTATGTATAATAAAGCAAACGTTTATAAACGCGGATCCGATTTTTAGTTTTGTTTATTTAATTAAAACAAACAAAAAGAAGCCAACTAACAAAAGCGATGAGACAGAGTAGGCAATATTAACATATATGTATGTATGTATGTATGTATGAAGTATGTGTGTGAAGTTTATTGGAATTGCAAATTCGCGAAGGTCAATGGTCGACAGCAATGATAGCAGCAGCGTAGCACCGGTGGCAGTTGCGCTTCACCACTATGTATCAGCGCAAACTAGTGGCTTTCGTTTCGTATTTCTGAGCGGCGTTTTCTCTGTTTATCTGATACGTCACTTAATACACTTAAAAGCGATTGAGCGTTGAACGCGAATTATTTTTTTGTGCGCTTTTTGCTTTAGTTCTCGGTTCTGTGCGACGCGTTGCGTTCTTCTTTATTGACTAAGCATGGGCGGCTGACCGAAGCACGCTTTTGTTTGTCAGCGCATCAACCGACCTCAGGCGGTCTGTGGGTTACAAAAAAGCAGCGCAGTAATCGCAATTTTTACTCTCTTCCACTTGAGATTTGTTATTTTTTATGGCATACTGTAAATATAAATAATTTTATATGTGATTTGTATGTTTACAGTTTTGTGCTGATAGGTTGAGCGCAGTTGCTGCCAAACAAGAGATTAGAGCGATATTATTGAGTACGAAAATGCATCCGCTTATATTTTGATTAAAATGCGGCAAGTTGCTGACTGCGTTGCATTCGCAATCTACTCAGAAATGCTTTGTTTTTCTATTTAAATAGCAACAATAATAAATGCAAAATGATTGGCCCAGCTTCTCCTCCAATTTGGGGTATGCGTACAATTTTCCGTCGCCTCCAAATGGCAAAAGGTTTTATAAGAAACCTTTTCAAGGCAGAAAAACATGCAATAGTTTGCTATTGCCTGCCGAGGGGCGACTGAAGTTAAAAAACGTTAAGTTTGGTTTCCACGCGAAGCTTCTTCGTTCTATTACTCGTGTGAACCTGCATGGCGTTATAACGCAAAAATTTTATTTAACACTTTAAACAGGTGGAAAAACTCTACAAAAACCTAAAAACTTTTCCAAAGCGATCCGTGTGCTTAATTTCATTTAAACCCATCCAGCCGTTTCTGAGTGAAGAAAGGATTCGCATGGTTCGGTATCTCTAATTTTAAATCACACTGCCAAGCTATTTAATTTTGCATCTCATTCTTGAAATTCGAGAGGACTGTGCACATCTGATGACATTCATAAAAATGGCTTCTATATAGATAGCTATGACTTTTAGAATAGGTTGTAACGCTTTTCAAAAATATTTTCAAACTAAAATCATTTTAAGTCTCTTTCGTCTAAAATTGAGATCCATATTTCAATTAACTGAGCAGTTAAATTGAATTTGATTTTTCAAATATGTACTTGATAAATCTTAAATAATGTCCTTCTTAACCTATTTCGATTTATAAACATCTTTTAGTAGTTCATTTAACTTAATAAATGATTAAATAATTGAATTTAACTTTTCAAACTGGTGGTAACTCTCTTCAAATACTTCGAAAATATTCTAGGTATTCAAACTAAAGATTTCTTAACCCTCCTTTGTTTGGGACTCATATTTTAATATTTTAAACAATTTAATTAAATTCGAATTCTAAAATAGGTGGCAATCCTTTTCAACACATTTTCAAACTAAAACCATCGTAAACCTCTTTCGTCTGACACTCATATTGCTATACATAAATTACCTAATTGCTGCAATTCAAGTTGAATTAGATTTTTTCAACATGTGGCAACCCTCTCCAGATACCCCAAAAATATTCAATATCTTCAAACTAAACATTTCTTAACTCTCTTTCGTTTGGCAACCAAATTTTAATATTACATATAACTTGTGTAAAATTTAATTAAAGTTGAATTTTAAAACAGGTGGCAATCCTCTTCAAACTTAAGCCTTTCTAAATCTCCTTCGTCGGTCAGCAAAGTTGTGATATCTTTCTAAATGTATAAAGCCTTTTCAATCAAGTTTCACTTCAATTTTTTTTTCTAATTTAGATGTTGCTCGAACCAGGGATAGAACCCGGGCCGTACAGAGTGGTAGTATGTATCTCTAACCACTCAGCCATAGCATATAAATATAATAAAATATAATCATAAAGAACTCTAAGCCGCATGCACATAAAATGTTTAATTGCTACTTTAAGTGCTCACAAAATAACCTTTAGGATCAAAGTCATAAATAGATAGACTACTAGTAGCGTTTGAAAAACTTCAATATCTTATGCATTTGCGTATGTATGTATGTAGTTATTTAAAAAAAAACAATCATGAAGCTTATATGAGCCGAATATTGATTTTCTAAACGTCACAAGGAGCTGCAAAAGCACAATTATTATATTAGTACAACTGAAATAAACAAGTAAAATGAATCGTAGTTTTAGTGCATCCAACATTAACATTTTTAACGTTAACATTTTTTTTAAGTCTAGTTTCAAATTAAAATATGTTTTGTTAGGTCTACTCCTCTTTAACGTTGACATTGAGTTTGATTAAAAATTTAATTAATTCTTTGAAGGGGTTTAATTAAGTACAGCTATGAATTTTCTCTGACCCAAACCTCCATATTGTTATCTGATCTTACTTTGTTTTTTTGGAGGGGTGTAGGTTAGGTCGCCTGCCCGCGGTATACTCTGGATAACGCTAAATGACCTAAAGCCTGAACGGTTTAGTGAGCGTCTTATCTCCAGACCTAAAATAAACCCCCAGGAGGTGGTGTCCGTCTAGAGGGTGTGAAGAAAAAAAGATGATGGTGCAGGGAGTCAGATACCTACATATTAACTATTCAACAGTACTATTCAGCAATTCTTCAGGCTTGGCAGTGGAACCCCAAGCTACGAATGCTACTGGAAAGAAAGCAGGCAAGCAGCCGTAGAGAGAAGTTCAGTGGAGATCAAGCTAATCGGATCCCATCTTCAGAGTATTCCATCGGCAACGCTTCGAACGAGGACGATTCGTTGGCGTAGACAGGCAACGTTGATGATATTGGTCCCGAGGCTGACATATTGTGAGATATTGTTACTCGGTGAATCGTTCCGGACTTCCACTTCTGTGGCAGCCCACCACTAGATCGAGAGCAAAAAGAAGCTTAGCCGATATCAGAAGGACACACATCCCATCGGAGATTCATCATCCTTCAGAAATATTTTTAAATATTTTTATGCAGATTTTTTAAGCTTAATCTGTTTTATCATATGAGGTAATTTTTTTTTCAAAAAGTTCCTTAAGAAACTATTTTTATTAATAAAAAACTCCATTTTTGGAGGTATTTTCAAATCGATCCAGCTCACTTAAATGTTAATGTTTTTCCGAAATATTTTGGTGAAAGTCTTAAAATATAATAGATTTTATAATACCAATGGAAACACAGTACCGTTTTTTTCTGTATGGAGAGTGATGCAGTCTAATGAACATACATACATGTATGCATTATGTGTGTATGTGTATGTTTATTCGTCAAAATAACATTCGCCTTACTAAAGCTTTAAAAAAAATGATGAGTTATTCAATAAAATTTTGAATTAAAAAATTATTTATAAGACCGGTATGCTAGATCCACACGTTGATAAACATAAAAATATTCCATGCTGACCCGGTTCGTGGAATTTAATAACCCATTTGGAAAGTAGGTAAGCACCTTACTTGATAATCCAAGTTCTCTTTCACATTCTAGTACCAAAATTGTTATCATGACTGATGTTGTCTATCAGTAAAGCACAAAATGAATACCTCCAATTTTTGCCTTACTAAAAGATGTTGTAAAATAATGTGCCGCCAAAGCTACAACCGAACGCCGAACTACGCCGAGCTTTCTACGGATATAATTTATTTGGCAAAGCGGTTATGTCTGATACCAGATGTATAATCTGAATTGCTATTTCCATAAGGCGGCGAAGCCTTAGTTAAAGTAAGGGAAATGGTAAGGAACGCCGGGAGCTGGGTATGTTTCTGGTAAGGCATTATTACGTGCTTATATTTCCTACTGGGAAGTATAGTATTTAATAAGTATAATAATTTTTGTCAGAAAAATAACCAAATACAAATAATTAATAGAAATTAAATTCTATTGGCGAAGCATTAACTATGAAAAGAAGGCGGGTATAAGTAAATGGTGACAATTTTAATGACGATTGCAAAGTATTTCTTTGGATGACAGAAAGGCAGATATTTATATACTATTTTTATATTTTTAATATGTATGAGAACATATTTATTTATACATATATCGGATTTCGGATATCTTTACTTTCATGGTGATCAATATTTCGAAATTTCTAGTTTGCTGTATCAGCATATGAACGCAATTTTATTTGCTGTTACAACTAAGGGAACCCTGATAACAACTAACAATTACAATACACATATTTATGCAGTAAGTACATACATACATTAGGGTATTCGATTATTCGGTTTCTTTGGAAAACCGGTTTCAGAGATATTCGAAAAAATGGCAATTTAAAAAAAACTGGTTCTCCATTTTCAAATTAGGAAAATACCGGATACAATGGTTTTAATTTACATTTTTTCTCTACAGTAACACTTGCTGTTAACCAGAAATCATGCCCAAAAATATATGACTACTAAAAATAGGTATACCTTTAATTTAGAAAACATTAAGGCAAAATAAGTTTCAAGTATTTTGGATTACAAGTAAAACAGAAATCAATTATTTAGTGAAAAACTCACACTTAATGGGGGTTCACCGATCTTAACCTTCCTTTGTCGGGAAAAACTCGAGCTTGTATTTCGAATACAACATCCGCTGAACTAAAGCGGCAATTCATCGGAAATGAATGAACACTCTCGTAAACTCTCACCCATTGAATACTATCGTCGGACAACATGTAGTCTATTCACTGATTTAGACAGAGTTTAGTAAGTAAATGTGAAATTAATAAAAATATTCTATTAGGGAAATCATAAGACGCATTAACCGTCGTTAAATCTTTAAAATTTTGTTATGTAAAACTAGTAATTTTTAGCAAAAAAAAAACCGACTTCAACTCCCATATAAAAAAAATATATATATATATATATCTCATGATCCGCTGATCGGATCTTAACCAGATTAGTATGGGACCACCTCTGAGAATTATCGAAATCGGTTGACGTGGTCCAAAGTTATGCGGTAGCATACATAAAAAAAAAAAAAAAAAAAAAATATTCCGACGAACTGATAACCTCCTCCTTTTTTGGAAGTCGGTTAATAACGGTTGAAATGATTTTAAGGGATGCTAATTATATATTTTTATCAATTTAAAAACATTTCGGTGTAGTTAGAAATCCTCTAAACCCATTTATAATTTTACCATGGTATGTAGGTACTTTTAAAAATCTCCCGGTATTGTACATCCGGTATAGGCATCCATATTGGGGGACTGAATGCATTTTCTTAATGGACCTTCATTTAATTATTCTTAGTACCGTTATTTCTAGTCCATTGTTCTTACATATTATTCATTAGTGCGCAATTAATTTTCAGATATTTTTTGTAAGCATTACATTTACAAGAATCAATAGCTGAA